AATAATCAACTACATTGTATATTGACAAAATAAAAATAATAAAATAAAAAAAATAAAATAAAAAACAAAACAAAACAAAACAAACAAAAAAAAGACCCTCCATGATCAGGCCCCAGTCACATTTCTAGCATAGTCTGGTTTAACTTTAACCTTTACTCTACACAGACCCAACTAATTATATTTTCTATGAAAGTGCATGCTCTGCTCCTATTGTTAGCACAATATAACAAGTATTTTAGCTTTGCTCCTTCTTAGTACTGTTAGTCTCTTCAAAAGTTCTATTTGCCTCTTCTCTGGATTAAATGGTTTTTGCTTAGAAAACCCACCTTTATTGCTTGATGAATACCTGGAATAGAAAACTGGTAACTTTTTTTTTTTTTTTAGTAGCAAGAGCAGAAATTAGAGAAGTAATAGTGTCTACAAAGTTACCAGCATACATTTTTTTCGTACCAACCTGGAACTGAGTGTCAAGCTACCAGAGATTGTAGCTGCCAAGAAAGAAACAAAAGGAGAAAGTAGAGGCCAAGCACTTGGAAAAAGCATCTTTACTACCGCTGGCCATATCAGATGTGCCACGGCTTTGTACAGGCAGTGTGATAAACTCTTAACATTCGTAATAAAGATGAACCAAGATTGTCACAAATCCCCAAATTCATTAGAATCTTGATGGAATATAATTTCTCCAATAAATACTGTAAAGAATAACTACAAAGTGTGAATTTTAGAACCTTGATGAAATATAGATTAAAGTATTTTACTGATTAGAGATGAAATATAGATTAAAACATTTTACTGATTAGAGGCAACAAATCTTTTTGGATGTGTTTTAGCTGCACTTGGTGACTTCCTCCTGCACACCAGCTTTACAGTAACCATGTGTCAGTTAGGATGGTTTTGTTTACAAGCAACAGAATTATGTGTCTCATTCAGTTCTGCCCTGTGTTTGTAGGATTTATCATTAGTGTAGCTTCATTCATGGGAGTGAAGTGGCTACTGCAAAATGGGTCACATTCACACATTACACTTTCCACGGCAAGAGAACATCTATGTCCCAGGATTTCCAGCCTGCATGTTGAGCTCTGTGCTGATTGGATCACATCTGAAATAATTCACTCTTTGTGAGAAAGCCATATGCTAATGCAGAGATTACCTGATCGAATCACTGTGGTAAATGGAGATGAGATTATGCCAAACAGAGTCCACCCAGATTTGGGAGAGGGTGGTGTTCATCAATCCCACACAAACTACATGGCTTCTCTAAAATAAAAAGGTAAAATTTCCCGAAGAATGGGCCAGCCCGGTGGCACAATGGATAGTGCGCCGCTTGGGAAGCGTGGTGGCGCTCCTGCCTGAGGGTTCGGATCCCACATACAGACCGGCTCCCGCTCACTGGCTGAGCGAGGCGCGGGAGCAACGCCGAGGGTTGCAATCCCGTTGCCGGTCCCCGGTCCGGTACGGGGGCAACACTGAGTGTTGCGATCCCGTTGCCGGTCCCGGTCCGGTACGGGGGCGACACTGAGGGTTGCGATCCGTTGCCAGACACGGAAAAAGACAAAAATAAAATAAAATAAAATAAAAATTTCCCGAAGAAAAACAGGGGGGTTATTTAGTATAAGAAAAGAAGAAAAATGGATGAATCCCAAGTAAGCAACCAGTCAATATTCACTACAGACACTGTTCAAAGTTGTTCATCAGCAAATTTAGAAATTTTTCTGGGCCCTGGATATTTAAAGCTACTGGTGAATAGTTAAAAAAAAAAAAAAAAGAAAGAAAGAGAGAGAGAGAGAGAGAGAGAGAGAAAGAAAATTGCCAAAAGTCTATTGCAAGGGTGAAGAGAGGGTAGGCAGAGGTAAAGAACCTAATTCTGAGAAATCCTCATTACTGAATAAGAAGATTGAATGCTGTGGATGACTCTTAAACCACTCATTCATTCATTGTTCATAGAACATTTAGAGTGTCTACTCTAGGCAAGAAAATGCTTAAGATAACAGGATCTTTGACGTTAAGGAGTTCAATCTATCAGGGACTACAGAATTATAAGCAAAAAGTCAGTAGTTCTGAATATAGAATGATTACCATTTTAATAGTGAAAATACAGCCTCATGGAAAACCTAGTGGAATCTTCACCACACCCTTCAATGTTTTCTGCAAAGCTAACACTTCTACCATGCAATCTCCAATATAAAGAACCCCAGGAACTCTTATTTTCAATCAAAAGATTTCTGACAAGAGTATAATGAAAGGCAAATGAAAGAGTAATTTACTTTACTCTAGTTCTCAGGTAAATGGTCACAGAATCTAAGAAAACTAATATGAAACTATTTTTTGTTGTTTGGAAACAGAAGCCAATTATTATTGTCTCAGGGAGTTTTTGTTTGCTGAATACATTGCTAGTAATGTGAATTCTGTTAAGCTATTATATTCTGTGACCATCTGGGGAATTAGTTTGGGGGATAAATACAGCAGAAATATTTAGAGAAAGGACATTAAAAGGAAAAATAGCAGATATAGTTGATTCTTTCTGACAGTATTTTAAGTATAAAATCATAATATCCTGGGTCCATATCACAGTGATAATCCCGAAAAATTCTAATCACTTTATCATTATTCCCAGCAGTATACTGGAACTCTAATTCTAAGGGCAGGGCTTTCCATAAACATCTAACATGAAGATATAACTCAAAAGAATTTTTGAGAAATCGTTTCTTCACATGAAGTATACTTGATAATAACATTTTAATGTAATATTGACATTTCTGGTTTTTAACTCTGTTGGGCAGAATCTTGATGGAAAAGAAAATCACTTGTGACAGCTTCAGCATGAGTGTCTAATATTATGGCAGTTTAACCCAGTTTTTTCTTGTATCAGAGGTATTCCACCAGAAAAGGAGTAACTTTTCCTTCATGTTTTACAAAAACAAATTATTTCTCAGAACAGATAGTGCTAAAATTGACTTGAAATTGTTAATTATTCAAATAAATATTATGGAAAATATTGGTTGCTTAATTTTAAAAAATTTATACTTTTATATACTCTAACATTGTGTGTGTGTGTGTGTGTGTGTGTATATATATATATATATATATATATAGGTCTGAGTATTGATGTAGATATTTGAACTGAATTGGTCTAATTGGGTCAAACTGAGAAGTTGAGCCAAATCTGTGTGACATTTATGGTTGAACAAAGGACTGTCTACATTTTTGTTACTTGGAATATGGTCCACAAGCCGATTGTATCAGAATTACCTTGGATCTAGTTAGAAATGCACAATTTGAGCCTCCAGCCCCAGATCTACTGAATCAGCATCTGCATTTTAACAAGATCCCTAGATAATTAAAGCACTAACTACACCAAGCCATCTCAACTCTGGCTACACATTAGAATCACTTAGGGAACTTTTAAAATGTTTTGATTACCAGGCGTTACTCCAGACCAATTAAATTCAAGTCTTTAGGGGTGGGACCCTGGCATCTGTACTTTTAAATGCTCACCAAGTGTTTCTAATGTGCTGCCAGGTTTGAGAACTATCGATCACACCATGCCCAATCAGTAAATTCAGTGTATTCTGAAAGGACAAAAAAGAAAAAGGAAGTCAAACCAATTACTTAGTATTTGCTACCACTCTATAAATGATTGATTTTTTTTTAACTTTTAATAAGTTTGCTTTGCTACTGTGTGAACACAGCCTATTACGTCTCAACCTGCCCAGAAGTGTATTGTATTGTAAATCAAGAAGAGGAATGCTTTACTATCCAAATTAATTAAAAGGAGATTTTAGGTTTGTTTTTCAACTTTACTTCCATTTGCCAAACTTATTCTCCAGCCTGACACATCTAAATGCTGAATTTCAGACACTGTGCACATTCCAACCACTGCACCTTTGGATAGCACAGCACATCACACCCTCGATTCTCACTTTCCCTCGAGCATTTCCTTCTCACCCTAAGCCAGGTGGATTTTCCTCTCCCGAATCCTCACATTGTTCACTGCCCCGTCACACACTCTCACTTTATGGTCTTACATGGTTAGATCCACTATTTAGTGGAATCAAATTACCTGTTGCTTAATTTCTACATATAATCTCAAGCACTACCAATCTATATCTAAATCTTATGCATGAATAAGGAAAGAAAAAATAAATCACGGTGTAGTCGATGTGGCCATCATTATCCCATTTTATAGATGTGGAAACCATGTCTTAGAGAGGCAAGGTGACTAGCTAAAAAGTTACAACCCTAAGGTGTTTTCCCAAGACTGACTCAAAGTGCAGAGGAAGTTTGGTTTGCTTTTGTTTGTGTGTGTGTGTGTGTGTGTATACATATATGTTTGTTTCTAATATAGTATATTATTTTAATTACAATCCTAGGGCAGATTAGGAATATGAACACACTAATACAAACTAAAAGAAATTGCATTCTCAAGATCTATGGCCACTTTTATCTTTGGAATAGACCCAGTGATTATTCTTATTTTCACTGGCCTTTTTTTTTTTTCCAAAAATCTTTTGAAGTTTGGTGAAGGGTCAGGGGGACATAGTAAAAT